GCACTGAAGTCAGACATTGAAGTAACTGCAAACATGCTTCACCTTCTATTCAAAAAAAATTTGGAGGAGGAGCAAGTGTCAACAGACTGAAAAGAAGGATAACTCATCAAGACACCAAAGAAAGGAGATCTGAGACAGTGTGAGAACTACAGAGGCATCAGTTTGTTATCAGTACCAGGAAAAGTTTTCAACATAGTGCTGCTGAATCGGATGAAAGACGAAGTAGACGCCGAACTTAGGCATCATCAGGCTGGATTCCGTAAGGATCGATCGTGCACAGACCAGATTGTGACACTAAGGATCATTGTGTAACAATCAGTTGAGTGGAACTCATCACTATACGTCAACTTCATTGACTATGAGAAGGCGTTTGACAGCGTGGATAGGAGAACATTATGGAAACTTCTTCGACACTATGGAGTTCCTGAAAAGATTGTCAACATCATCCAAAACTCATACGATGGATTACAGTGCAAAGTGGTGCTTGGAGGACAGCTGACAGATGCATTTCCAGTAAGGACCGGAGTCAGACAAGGCTGTCTACTCTCCCCATTCCTCTTCCTTCTAGTGATTGACTGGATTATGAAGAATTCGACATCTGAAGGGAAATACGGAATACAATGGACAGCTCAGAATCAATTAGATGATTTGGACTTCGCAGATGACCTAGCCCTCCTCTCTCATACACACGACCAAATGCAGATGAAGACAGCAAATGTAGCAGCAGCCTCCGCATCGATAGGTCTCCACGTTCACAAAAGAAAAAGCAAGATTCTCAAATGCAACATGGAGAACACCAACCCAATCACACTTGATGGCGAATCTCTGGATGAGGTGGAAACATTCAAGTACCTGGTGAGCATCGTTGATAAACAAGGAGGATCGGATGCAGATGTAAAGGCGAGGATTGGCAAAGCAAGGGCAGCATTTCTACAATTGAAGAACATATGGAACTCAAAACAACTCTCAACCAATTTCAAGGTTAGAATCTTCAATACGAACGTCAAGACAGTCCTACTGTATGGAGCTGAAACGTGGAGAACTACTACGACCATCATCAGGAAGGTACAAGTATTTATAAACAGTTGTCTACGCAAAATACTCAACATCCATTGGTCGGATACTATCAGCAACAGCGTTTTATGGGAGAGGACAAACCAGCTTCCAGCTGAATAGGAAATTAGGAAAAGACGTTGGAAGTGGATCGGACATACGTTAAGGAAATCACCAATGTGCATCACGACTCAATCCCTAACTTGGAATCCGGAAGGGAATCGGGAAAGAGGAAGGCCAAAGAACACACCACGCCGGGAAATAGAAGCCGATATGAAAAGGATGAATGTTAACTGGAAAGAACTGGAAAGGAAGTCTCAGAACAGAGTTGGATGTAGAATGCTGGTGAGCGGCCTATGCTCCTCGACGAGGGACAACAGGCGTAAGTAAGTAAGTAAGTGACAGTGCAGAAATTTATCACAATGTCAATCCCATATTGAAAATGATCTACGAGTGTATAGTAGTTTATTGCCACTCAACAAGGTCAATAACATTTACCATTGACGAATAAACTGGCTAGGTGGATCCGACACCGGGGTGAACTGGTCTATTGCTCCGTTTTCCATTTATTACATCTTTTCTGCTCAGAAAAATAAAACTGCCCGATGAGACTTATTCTATTCTCTGATTGTACTAAGGAAGCAGAAAAGCCTGGAATTCAAAATGAGGTGGGACGGCGTATATTCACCAGATATATAAGCTTCAACTTAGTACTGTTTTATTCAAAAGGCTGCACATTTCCCGTCAGCCCTATAGGTAAATTACAGCTAAGAGTTGGCTGATATCAGCACTCTTTTTATTAATGATGTTATATCAATTCCCAGTACAGTACCATTTACTCCAAACACCAATACGTTATTCACTTAGATGCTGGTACCTGTTAGCCGTTAATTTGTGCATATTTCTTCTATTCTATACTAATTTGTGGGTTGAATGGTTATGTTAAGGTAACCCACACAACATGCAAATATGCCAACCAAGACTGATGAAATCTCAGTCAAAATATTCACAGTAAGATAATCCAGTTCATTTCAAATAAAATTACTTTTTTATGATATTTTGAATGGTGGAATAGTAACTAGTAGTTTTTGTTTATGTATATGTGTATGCTTAAATGAATATCGCGATTATGTGCTTGGCTTAAGGGGACCACTGAAATATAGTCAGTAAAATAAGTAGGCCGTATGTTAAAGGTCTCGTTTTGGATGAAACCTTTAACAAATAATGTGACGATAAAGATCGAGCCTGCCTTTCCAAGACTTGGGTTGAATCAAGGGTGAAAGGTTGATTTCAAGCTAAAGGATGTATCCAGGTATCAATTTAATCTCTCCATATCAATGGAATTGGTCATTAGAACAATCGTGTCTAGACAAATTCCCATATTATGTTGCCTCCATTTGCATCTATCAGTTTATATGTACGTGCGACAGCATGTATATCAGGAAAACAGAAAAGAGGATTTGTGTCCGCATCTTTGGGCACATTCTTTAGAAGCGTAGACTAAGAAGACACCACATTTTCAGCAGTACGAATGCGCACCATTGGCTTGACAATAGCCATGATGTTGGTGCCTCACAGTTCTTCAAGAGAACTTGTAAACAAAGAACGTCGAATTCGTTACGTTTTGCTGTATCGATTGTCATAAAAAGGTTTAATCGTATTCATATTCTCAAAAGGAGTCATTATCTTTGTCTTATCATAGTGACCTCATTCACAAATGTTTGTTATGGTACTTTACTTTCTATGACGCTAACTATTAATTCACACTACTTTGCGGTCTATACTCAGTTAATTTTATTTCATGTTTAGAGGATTATGTAACAATAACTTAAAATGCAGACTAGGGACACATCATCAATCTCAGGGTTTGAATAATGTACCAGTGATTGTTTTATTGTACTTGTTTGTTTAACTGAATTTGGGAGTGACTCGATGCCATCTTCAAACTACTAAAAGGATGATTGTGAAGTATCTTGTATGATTTTATGAAATATTAATCACCGTCTAAGTTTGCACGGAGTCTTGGCCGGCAGTTTCGAAACTTGGACCTTAATTGTCACATGTTAGTTAAAGTTCTCACAGTTTTTATTCACTGTTAGAGTAATGAGTGTGGGTAGTCTGAGAAAGGATAGGACTATTTTTCCCCTTTATGAGACCATCAAATTCAATTCGGCTTCCAAAACGCCTGTATTGAAATGACTCGCTTAAATCGACTGGAATCTCTCTTGAACGTGGATCACTACAAACAGCACTTAATAATTATTGAAAAAAGTCATTTCTTGTGAATAAACTTTATTAACTGAAGGAAGGACTAGAAAAAGTAAAGACTTACCGATTACTCGACATTTCGTCTCAATTCTTGCGGAAATCAACGATTCACAGAAACTCAGAGTAACTCTGACTGTTAAGTTACTCTCAATATGCTGTTTTGGGAACCCCAACAAATTTTAAACAAGGACATTGAGGTTAAGTACAGTCATTGGTATTCCAGGTGAAGTTACGAGGCAACAATGTAGCCAAATTGTGCACTACAAAACAAAGATTGATGTGGATAAAAGACTTCCTAGTTGGGCGTCAACAAAGAGTGAGGGTGAAATCCAAGTAATCTAGCTGGGAAACTGTGCTTAGTGGAGTCCCCCGGGGTACAGTTTTGGGGCCAGTGTTGTTCCTCCTGTACGTAATTGACCTCCCTCGTCTACTAGTGTCATCGGTCTTACTGTATGCTGACTATGTCAAATATGAAGAGTGATACAAAGCAAGGGCGATAGCTTAGAACTTCAAAATGACCTGGAGAGATTATCTGAATGGTCCCAAATCTGGCAATTGCCGATAAACACTTCCAAGTGTATTGTGATGCATATTGGCCACCAGGGTACAGATGCATACACGATGAATAACACTGAGTTACCTATTGTCCAGGCACACAATGACTTAGGAGTCATCGCTGATCAAGACTTAAAGACTACTGCACACTGCCGTGCAATAGCCGCCAAAGGTTTTAAAACTTTATTGTCCATACGCAGGGACTTTAGGCATTTCGACCCTAAAATGTTTCTGACTTTGTATACAGTATTCGTACGTCCTTAACTTGAGTAATGCATACAAGCAGCTAGCCCCTGCCTAAAAAAGACAGTGAACTCTTGGAAAGGGTTCAGAGAACAGCAACCAGGCTGGTTCCTGGAAAAGAGAAGCTCCCTTATGGTACTAGACTGACCAAACTAAACCTATTTCCGCTGTCATATAGAAGAATCAGAGGCGACTTGATTACAGTTTTCAAATTGCTTAGTGATAAATTTGAACATGATATGCCCTCATTTTTCTTTTCTTTGAAAACAGAAAATCTACGAGGACACTCCAAAAAAGTTCACAAGCCCAGAACGAATTACTTGTCAGCTGACTACCGACTTTCCCATCGAATCATCAACGAGTGAAATTCATCACCTCAACACGTGGTTGAGGCTCCATTCGTCGACTCCTTCAAAAAAAAGTTGGATCAGCTGAGAGACCATCATTACCAGTACTAAAACAGGCCATCAAGCCTCCTGAAACTGAAACAAAAAAGCTAAATTATTGCTTTACAATTTGATTTCGCGAATATACTGCAGCAAAACACGACTAAAACATAAGAAAACCTGATGGCCGTGCAATCCAACGGATATTCAATAGACTCAACAAGTCAAATACGGAATGACCGCCTCTTGACAATCACTTTAAGGTCGTTAAAGCGAAACGGCGGGCTTTTTCTCTGTGCCGAAAACGACCTTGACCTCGATTAGTCGATTATAGGGCGGCACATTTTTATTTTTTCGGAAGGTTTGGATTCAGTTCGAGCTGCCGATGTTCGTTAACTTCAATCTCCATTGATCCTGTTAGTCTGATTGGGTTTCACAAGTATTTGCTTATTTACAGTATCCACGTTTATCCCAAATTACACTATCAAAACCAATATGGAACTAGCCATCCTTACGTCTGTTATGTCTGGAGGCATAGGTGTTTTTGTTGGTTGGTGTGTCTTTCGTAAACTTGGTAGCAGTGTAAGCTCCAACTGTTTCTAATGCTTAGCCTTTCCACAATAGGTTAATTTAGCATCGAAATTGACTCATTGCAAACCTGTTCCTGGTAAAATGAAACTAGTGTTAATAGTACGATCTGATCTTAAAATGGGTTGTGGAAAGATTGCTGCTCAGGTTAGCTATCTTGTATTTTCAAGATCCGTGGTTTTGAAGTGTTCCCATGCTGCTGTTTCTTGTTATGAAGAAATTATTGAAAAAAATCCTGGCATCTTAAAGGCATGGGAAGATCAAGGACAACCCAAAATCGTACTTAAAGTTGACAGTTATGAAGAAATGTAAATTTAGTCGTGATTCTAACACCGTGACTTTTCCATCCTTTTCTTGTTTTTAGGCTTAAACTATCCGACAAAGCTGAGTCATTGGGTCTTGTTAATTCAATTATACATGATGCTGGCCATACACAAGTTCCCAAAGGCACTGCAACTGTTCTTGGGATAGGACCGGGTTTGTGCCTAAAATTATTTTTATTTTCCTCCATTAGCTTTGGCTTCTGAAATCAACCTTGTTTCCGGTGATCTAAAGTTGCTTCCTTAAGATTATGCTTAGGAACGCTTACGATGTATGCAGCAGTGTATATTTGATACATAACTATTTTAACGCTTTCTAATAAAAAAAAACTTAAAAGATTATTTCTGCTAACCGGTCTTTTTCTGCATAAACCAAATAGCTTCAATGATTAGTTGTGAATTGTTAATGATCACCTAAATCCTTTGATGTATGTTCCGTTATCGTATAGGCAGGGAGGGCCGCAACTAACAAATAGTAATAGCTGGCCCCCCAAACGAAAAGCAAATATCCGGCGCCTTAACCGGGTTGGCGGATCTACCCAGAGGAGTTGGAAAACCCCGATTCCAAACCAATGGCGTATGAATCATTGGTCACAGACTAGTATGGGACTGCATCTGATACTGCTCCACTGCCTTGTGGATCAGATCTTTAGGTCGGAAGCTCGGGGTGTGGCCCTCTAAGAAAACTACCTGCCTCGGTCTGTGCTCATGGGCAGTATCACAACCCTCACACAAATTAATGATAACTGCTACTAGCCTCATTGTTGTTGTTTGTCGCATATGTATTTGGTGCGTCCTTGCACCAATGTTTATGTGTTCAATATAAGTAAAAGTAATAGGTGACAAAGTTTTCATTTACGTAGAAGGACCTAATCGATATAGCTGTGCTTCAGTTTTGTTTCAGAACTAGGTATAAACAGCCAGCACTCCTCAAGACTTAAGAACTGACTTACGAGTCAAAGGTACAGAGTTTTTAGACGATATCAATGATGGTTGGATACGCCTGATGTGTTAATAAACTCAGTAGGTTTCTTATAATGTAGTAACTCCTCATTAACAACCGAACCTGTTAGTGTTGAGGGAAAAAAGTGGTCACCAATTTCCGGAAAACCATAATCAAATGAGGAAGTATTTCGACAACGGTCAAAGTGCTCATCAATCCAACTAAATGTTCTGAAGAAAATAATGTGTGTATTGGTCAAATTGCCCAACTGGCGGCTGGCTAACGCCGAGGTAACTAAAACCATTTGTCGAGCTTGTCTAAATTCGGTGAGCTTGCTTTTAGTTATATTGCTATCGAGCTAATCAACTTATGACTAGTATGCGATTCCACTCATCAGGCTTTAAACTTTGTGCTGTAATCACGTTGTACACTAACCTGTCTTCATGACTATACTTCTGCATGTTACTCAAACACTGATCTACTTTCCAGACAACTGTCGATTTAGAAGACCTAAGCGAATGTACTATTGAATTGCTTGTCCCAGCCAAATTCGAAGGAGGGAACAAACCACTAGTTGCCAGGTTAATCAACACGCATATATTTTAGATTATAGTAGGGAGATAGTAAATTGAAAATATGCTGAAACCTCAGTGGGGACGTTTATATCGTAGTCCAAATGGAAATATTATGTTATCTTGTAAGAAACAAATACCATCCCATTATGGGCCAAGCATTTTCGATCTTACATTGAGTGGCACCTAACAATCAGGTTACCGATTTGAAAACAAAATGTCTGACCAGAATCCGACAATATGGAATTTTTACTTTATTACCCATATCATGTAATAATTTACAAAAATGGTAGAAAAAACACTTTATGGTTTTAAAGCATTTGATAAGGTTGTGACAGCATTCCTATTAGAGTTACTAGGTTTTTTCATAAAGAACCAAGTTGCTGACTACTTAGAAGACTCAAAAAGCTATCTAGTTGGTTCATTCTAGGTTTGGAATTCGGCCAATTACATTTTTGCTCTTGTGTGTACAATCGGCTTAACAATTATATAATATATTAACAAAACACCATCTTAGGTGATTTTCATATGGCTCAAAAAAAAAGCAATATAACACAATTAACACGTTATAATATGTCGAAGTTGTCGTTCATTACGCTACTTTTCATGATGAATGGGGAACGATATGCCTGTTGATAATAAAATATATTTCTAATATGTAAGAATTGAAAATCTCGTTAATGTTGAGAATTTACTGAACTTTGTAACAGAGGTGTAAAAGCATGAGATGTTAATGTCACTGAGAAGGTTAAATAGTTTTCAAGGGTTTGAATATTCATCAAGAAAACTGTGGAGTTGCGCAACATGGCATTAGAATTGAAATAAAATGTAATCAGAAAGAAGATCGGGACAGGAATAAGTCGGCTGGGGGGTAGAAAGGTTTGTGTTAGTAAGTATGAAAAACCATTATCATGTAGTTAACATCACTGGAAAGTAGGGGAACATTGGATAGCTGTTTTGTCTTAATAGCTGTCCAGCGCTATCTAAAATTAGTTTGTGATGTTAACCATAAAATCCGGAAATTTCCGTTAACTGTTGACAGTCATCATTATTACCGTTAATTAATGTATTTAAGTTTGGTCGAACACCAGAGATGGGGTTAGATTTTCATGGTTAAATATTTTCTTTTAAAATATCAATGGAACCTTTTGCACAAAACGTTAACGATATTAGAATCAATCAATTATGGAACCTCGAATTTACCATTATCTGTGTGATTATTGATTAATGTGTTGGTGACAACTCTATCGCCTTTAGAAAGAATTATCAATAATACGAAGGCCAAACGAGTAAACAAGCCGATTTATGTACACAATTCAATAAAATATGAATTTTAAAAGATTTTTCATTGAAATGTATCTAAAACAGTGAATAAATTTATCCTAATTATCTCCAACAAAAATGATAATGATAAAATATTAGGTTGTATTGAAATTGGTGCATATCAGTTGACTAAGTCTTGGTTCTGGAGCATATTTATGTCTAGGCCGACAGATATGAGGTAATATTTTATTACTACTATTAAAATTGTTCGAGTGTTTTGAACAAAGATTTGGTTCTTGAAACTGTAGAATAACTAATTTTGTCGGTTCCATACCAATTCGACTTCCAGCAGCACATATTAGACGTTCTTCAGAAGCAACTATACGCCAGATAACACCGCCTCGTCCAGCCCCATCAAGGCGTAAAAGATCTCGAATATACGCACCAGACTGCTTATCCCATAATTTCACCGTACCGTCATCACCAGATGATATTATAAAATTACGAGTTAATTGAACACATGTAACAGCTGATTGATGTTTATGAGGTCCTATACACATAAACAAAAATTATAAGAAAACTGCCAAGTAGTAAATTGAATTATCTACATGACGTATGTATAAGATACAAATAAATGTTTAGTATCATAAATTTAGAAAGAATTATTAAAACCAAAGAACGTTTGTGTTAAGTGGTTGAAAGTAGTCAATAGGAAACCCTGGAAATAGAATTTGTGCTGCTTGGGACTAGTAAGAAAGGTGTGCCTGCAAGATTAAGGAAACTAGTCCTATCCGATGGATCTGACTTCGTATCATTTGGTTTGCAGTCTTAGACGTTAGCACTAAGCTACCTGAACCAAAACTGATCTTTGTAAAACTTTAAATGTCCAGGACAACAACTAAGCAGATAGCTAGCTTACAGTTGAACAATTTTTAAATTAAAGTGACAATATGTAAGATTAAAGACAAAAATAAACAGCTATATATATATATAACTCCGCCTGTAGCTCCTCCAGGGGCTACTGCCGGTCCCAAGCCCGGGTAAAGGAGGAGGTTTGGGCATGGGGTTAGCGACCCCATCCCGTAGAAAATCAACTCGCTAAAAAACGCTAACCATAAAAAATCATTCAAACCATTCAAACTCTGCCCTGGGAGTAGAAGGAAAAATGACGTCTCATGATGAAAGCCGAGTTCATTCGGAAGTCATGAGGCCGATGCACCTTCTTACAACCAGAGCGACAATTTTTATAGGTACATGGAATGTCCGGACAATGTGGGAGACCGGCAGAGTCTTCCAAATTTCTGCGGAAATGAGGAAATACAACCTGGAAGTGCTTGGAATCAGTGAAACACATTGGACGCAGGTTGGACAACAACGACTGTCTTCAGGGGAACTTCTGTTATACTCCGGTCATGAAGAAGAAAATGCCCCACATACACAAGGAGTGGCACTGATGCTGTCTAGAAAAGCACAAAATGCACTTATAGGATGGGAATCTCATGGACCGAGGATCATCAAAGCCTCCTTCAGAACAAAGAGAGAGGGCATTACAATGAACATCATCCAATGCTATGCGCCGACCAACGACTACGATGAAGACGCTAAAAACCAATTCTACGATAGGCTGCAGTCAATCTTCGAGAAGTGCCCAACCAAGGACCTGACCATTCTAATGGGAGATTTCAATGCCAAGGTTGGAAAGGACAACACTGGATACGAAGACGTCATGGGACAATATGGACTGGGAGGAAGGAACGAAAACGGTGAGAGATTTGCAAACCTATGTGCCTTCAATAAACTGGTCATAGGTGGCACCATATTCCCACACAAAAACATACACAAAGCCACTTGGATTTCACCGGATCACACTACACAAAATCAAATCGACCATGTCTGCATCAACAAAAAGTTCAGGAGGACGATGGAAGATGTGAGAACCAGAAGAGGAGCTGATATAGCATCCGATCACCATTTGCTGGTCGCCAAGATGAAACTAAAACTCAAGAAGCACTGGACAATGGTGCGGACAACATCACAAAAGTTTAACACGGCCTTTCTTCGTGATGCTGACAAACTCAACGAATTTAACATAGCCCGCAGCAACAGGTTCGAGGCCTTTCATGACCTACTCAATGGAGAGGGAACCACCATAGAGAGCAGCTGGAAAGGTATCAAGGAGGCAATCGTTTCAACATGTCAGGAGGTTCTGGGCCAAAAGAAGCACCATCACAAGGAATGGATCACTGTTGGTACACTGGATAAAATTGAAGCAAGGAGGAACAAGAAGGTAGCAATCAATATCAGCCGAACAAGAGCAGAAAAAGCCAAGGCACAAGCCGAATACACAGAGGCAAACAAGCAAGTGAAGAGGAGCATCAGGACCGACAAACGTAAATATGTGGAAGATTTAGCGATGACAGTGGAAAAGGCTGCAAGAGAGGGAAACATGAGACAACTGTATGATACAACAAAGAAACTTGCTGGAAATTACCGTCAACCAGAAAGACCAGTGAAAAACAAGGAAGGCAAAGTAATCAACGATATTGAAGAACAACGAAACAGGTGGGTAGAACACTTCAAGGAACTCTTGAATCGACCAGCTCCACTGAACCCACCCAACATCGAAGCAGCACCCACAGACCTCCCAATCGATATTGGCCCACCAACAATTGAAGAGATCAGCATGGCCATTAGACAAATCAAGAGTGGCAAAGCAGCGGGACCAGACAACATCCCGGCAGAGGCACTGAAAGCAAATGTAACAGCAACTGCCAAGATACTCCACATCCTCTTCAGTAAGATTTGGGACGAAGAACATGTACCAACAGACTGGAAAGAAGGACTTCTCATCAAGATACCAAAGAAAGGCGATCTGAGCAAGTGCGACAACTACAGGGGCATCACTCTCCTCTCAATACCAGGAAAAGTCTTCAACAGAGTATTGTTAAACAGGATGAAGGATTCCGTGGACGCTCAACTTCGAGATCAACAAGCTGGATTTCGTAAGGATAGATCGTGCACAGATCAAATCGCAACTCTACGTATCATTGCGGAACAATCAATCGAATGGAATTCATCACTGTACATCAACTTCATCGACTACGAGAAGGCATTTGATAGCGTGGACAGGACGACACTATGGAAGCTTCTTCGACACTACGGCGTGCCTGAGAAGATAGTCAACATCATACGGAACTCCTATGATGGACTAAACTGCAAAATCGTCCACGGAGGACAACTCACCGACTCGTTCGAGGTAAAGACCGGTGTTAGGCAAGGTTGCCTACTCTCACCCTTTCTCTTTCTCCTGGTCATCGACTGGATTATGAAGACGTCAACATCTGGAGGAATGCACGGGATACAGTGGACAGGCAGGATGCAGCTTGACGATTTAGACTTCGCGGATGATCTGGCTCTTCTATCACAAACGCAACAACAAATGCAGGAGAAAACGACCAGTGTAGCAGCAGCCTCAGCAGCAGTAGGTCTCAATATAAACAAAGGGAAAAGCAAGACTCTCCGATACAATACAATATGCACCAATCCAATTACACTTGACGGAGAAGCTTTGGAGGATGTGGAAATCTTTACATATCTGGGCAGCATCATTGATGAACACGGTGGATCAGATGCAGATGTGAGGGCGCGGATCGGCAAAGCAAGAGCAGCATACCTACAGTTGAAAAACATCTGGAGCTCAAAACAATTGTCAACCAACACCAAGGTTAGAATTTTCAATACAAATGTCAAGACAGTTCTTCTGTATGGGGCAGAGACGTGGAGAACTACGAAAGCCATTATCCAGAAGATACAAGTGTTTATTAACAGCTGTCTACGCAAGATACTTCGGATCCGATGGCCAGACACTATCAGCAACAAGTTACTGTGGCAGACAACAAATCAGATTCCAGCGGAGGAAGAAATCAGGAAGAAGCGCTGGAAGTGGATTGGGCACACTTTGAGGAAATCACCCAATTGTGTCACAAGACAAGCCCTCACATGGAATCCTGAAGGTCGAAGGAGAAGAGGAAGACCAAAGAACACATTACGCCGAGAAATAGAGACAGACATGAGAAGAATGAACAAGAACTGGAAAGAACTAGAAAAGAAGGCCCAGGACAGAGTGGGTTGGAGAAAGCTGGTCGGCGGCCTATGCTCCATTGGGAGTAACAGGCGAAAGTTAAGTAAGTTAAGTTAATATATATATATATATATATATATATATATATATATATATATATATATACTAAAAACGTTTCTGTATACATAAGGGGGGGTTGAATTTACGAGTAGCCAAGACATTTATAGACCTAAGAATTCATACATACAACGTTTTAATCTTATACTTGTCTTGGTAATCTCCAAGTCATTTAATGGTGTAGGGTAATATTGTGGTGTGGGCTACTTATATCCACACAAGTAGCATATAACGATGGTCGGGCATTGAATGTATTTCAGTAAAAGACCGATAACGAAAGAACGGGACGCAATTGGTATGAAAATGCATGAACAATAATAATCGGAGACTATGGAATGATATTTGCAAATTAACTGTTTACTGTATAGTTGTCAGATTTTAGTGAGATAGTCTGTAGTTTTTGTGTCAAATACATTCGATTATCCACACCCGTTTTCTGTTCACTGCAATATGACAACCTCCTATTCTTTTTATACAATGTCAATTTTTCCTCTCTCCTTCATTTACAATTACTATAATCTTCGCAAAACCTCCTTTCTGATAATAATCATCATGTATACACTAGTGACTGGTTTCAAAAGGTCCTGTTAGTCCCTTACTGGGACTCCTCAGGAGTGCGTATGCACGATCTCACACACAGGACTCAAACCCAGGTTTTCAATGGTGGTCTAGCTTAGATCGACTCATGATCTCAACTATTAAAATTATCACATTGTTTACTTGAATCTATTAATTTTCATATGAAATGCCTTGACAAGTAGATGTATGACCAGATTGTTCGAAATGTTTAGCGCAAATATATCACATTTTTCAGATCAACTCCGTCTTTTCATTGTTTTATCGAAATTTGTAAACGGGACTAACTGCTTCAAAATTAGAGTTTTAGAACAAGAAACAGTCGTGTATATATCACATGTGTTCTCAAGAACAGTCCGAATTATAGATGTAAGTTGAACAAATGTTCCTTAACTATTCTCACAGTTAGGTCATATTGACCAACTTATGTGAAAGCGCAACCTAAAATGTTTTCCTTATTTCAGAGCACATCCTAATGTTAAATATCGCTTGTACTCCTATATCCTTTCTACACAACGCTTAGTAAGTTTGAATTATGCAGGCTTTTCATATATAAATTGTTCCGGTGCCAAGTGTACGTTTATTACATTTGTGACAATGTTAACCACTAAAAAAACTGTTCTGAATTACACCATACCAATTTGTTCATACTAGCCGAATAAGTTTATATTATGGGTTGATATATCCCGTTGTCGATAGTTCGACTAAAGTTTGATTAGTCCTGGTTGATACATATGAATTGTGTGCCGATTGCCTCGAATAGACATTGTGACAAATTTATATAAAACAGATGGGACGTGACCAGCAGTGGGATCTAGGGTTCGCGTTTCGTCTTATCCACAAATTGTCAGCTGGATATCCATGCATCCCACAGTTAGTGTTCACTTCGAGACTGGCACCCAGTACATTACCGTTCTCTTTAAACGTCAACACGTTATCCACTGAACTACCAATTACAGATAGTCACTACTACTCACAACATAAATAGTTTTAAAACGTCAATGAGTTTACATGCGGCGCAGATGACGAATCTTACAACTTTAAAGAAAGTTCAATAACTCACCAGTTGGTGGAAGACAGTGTTTAATCTGAGACCCGAGTTAACAAACTTCTATTCACCACATAAAGAAAACCGATGGGAAGCTTAGATGATAATATCAGTGACTATTAAAAAATTAACCCAAGAAACATCGTCCCAAAGAGTCATACCATAGAATAAGAATTGTGAAGTAGTGGTATACTCATGATCTGAAAGTAAAACAAACGGACACACCTGGGTTGCAGAGACAACTTTTGAGCTATGTGACAATGTTTCAAATCGCTAATTATGATTACCGCCCAGGTGCAAATCAACAAGTCTGTAGGTCTTACTGATACGGCACAATCCATTACCTCTTAAACTGTGATTTGGATGCTCATAGCGTTCTTACAACCTGCTGGCCAACATAGTATAATGGGATAGGTGGTGAATGTGCGCCTGTATAACAAAATGTTCATGAGCTAATCTTTCATCCTTCCAGACAAATCTAGAGGATTCGTTTCTAATAGTATCATCGGCATGTACAAACATTTAAAGTAAACACTGACCGCAATATTAAACAAAAACACGTTAAATACTGTAGACTTACCAGCAAGAACATGTACACACTTCCCACTATTCATATGCCAGACTCGTATCGTTTCATCGGCATTACTTGACACAAGAATATTTTGTTCAGAACCAAATGCTAGTTCACTTGTTAATGAACGATGACCGTAAAATGTTTGTTTCAATGTACCAGTATGTGCATTCCATATACGTATAGTTGTATCTAATGAACCACTGATAATATGATAACCATCAAATAATAAAGTGTAAACACGATTTGTATGTGCACTGAAAACACGTAGACAATGACCTTGTAGGGCACACCATAAACGGATTGTACAATCATAGCTACCGGAAACAATTTGATTACCAGTAAACTGAACACAACGTATTGCTCCACGATGACCTTAAGTTGAAGCAAGCGCAAACGTAAAACACTTTCTACATTTAGTTCTCTTTTTTCATTTTAACCGATGCAGAGTATTATTAATTTATATTATTTTATGGTTTACCTTTAGGTGCTTACAACTGTATTCTTTTTGAAATACAACATAATTTGAAATAAAGCGACGGAAGAAAATATGGAAATGTCAACTATCACCCACATAACACAGACATGTGGAAAAGCATGTGTAGGGTCATCCGAAGATAGGAATCAGAAACAGAAAATGAGGAGTAAATATCCACAGTCAGGGAAATAATAATATGGATTACGTATTAATCATAAAAGGCTTCGAAGAGTGTGCATAAGTTTCGTCAATAATATGCAACGTAGAACCCAATATATATGTGCATCAGTTCAAGTTACCATGCCAGATTAACATGGCGAGATAAAATTATCAAGAAAAATGTCAGAGAACTAGGAGTAATAATAGTGTTAGTAGTAATTACAAAGCGATAAAAGAGGATTACGGGACTCAGCTTCCAAAGAAGACAAAGAGTTGTCGCACTTTTACCATTGCGAACGATTCTGAGACATCACACAAAGTCTCTGAGCAATTATTACAGCAATTACGTGGAACCTCACAGGTAGTCTACACCAATTAATATGACTTGTTCCAATTGTCAACGACATCACGGATCAATGCAACGCCTTGGTTTAGTCGCGCCCTAATTTCTTTCAGCTTGCCTCACACAGCAGATAACACCACCCGTCGAAGTAGCGGGCGACTGTGCATACAGAGCACATGAGTGTTTTAAATTGGGTAAGTAAAACTAACAGATCTGTTGTATCTTTATATTTGAAATTATTCGAAACATGCTCGGAAATACTCTTCTCTCTGCCGTCCCAATATGTGAACTATGGCAAATACATGTAAACTGCTAAATATCAAAGTACATACATGGAAAAACAGTGGGAGAAGAGTAAATCTTCCTACTGAGTACGTTCCAACGAATTCTAGACTAGTATAAATAGCTCTAAACAATGCAACAGCTCTTAATATCACCGATAGCCGGGATATGATCAAATTTTGTCAATTTTCCGAAATTATCAACAGATGAAAAAAACTCAACATCTTTAGGCTTTAAGAACTTTCGTTTAAATTAGAGCGAATAGTTTCACAGTATTTGAGCGCCGAGTTGTTATAAGACATTAAATAAGAATAATATCTTTAGGCTTTGGTGTAACATTAAAGATTAAAACACACTAAAACGTAAAGAAATGAATATTAACTTGCCACTAAATCAGTATATTTGTAACACTGATTAGCATCGTTTTCAATAGTAAAAAATTGTTATTCAGTATATTTTGTTACCTAATCTTCGTAACTCAAACCAAGGAACTTCAAGCTCGCGCGAAAGCTCTAGATCACTGAGCCGGCATTCAACGGTGTTAATGTCTAAATTTAACTAATTCATAGTATCGCGCTACCATCTTTATATCCTCACTAGTGACTAGCTTCGATAGGTTATTCTCGGAGTTTTAGTGAAAAGCCGTGACCAGTGAGGTTTAACCGTGTCGGATGAGAAGCAGTCAACCGCCAAAAACAATGGAAAATGGCTGCGCAATACTGTGGATTGGTTGGAGTTACAGACCGACACCTTCGGACGCGGGTTCAGTGATCCAGAGGTTAGGCTTTCGTGCGAGCTCGAAGGTCTTGGGTTTGAGTTCCACATGTGGGATCGTGGATGAGCATTGCTGATGAACTTCATGCCAGGACGAAACGGGCGTCTAGCGTTTCCAGGTTTTCAATGGTGGTTTTACACTGATTGGTTTATGATGTAAATTAAATACAAATCGTTTTAAAATTGCGAACTGATAGTAGACAGAGCACTATTGAAAACCTGGAAGCACTAGATATATCAAAATAACCAGATAATATGTAAGCAGTACATCTTGCTGTTGAATGTACTTGATTAACAAGATATGCAAAAGTGTGGTGGAACAAGTAAATAATTATCGATCACCATGATATTCTATCTAATAACTCATTGGGAGTAAGTATGGGATTATTTAGTCGTCCTTGAGGCACCTGAAAACTATTAACAAACTGAAGTGAGATTAAAACTTTCAACCAAGTTGTAAATAATGTACAAATACTATGGTGTATACTAGAAAATTACAAGTTTATATACTCAGATTTCAGCCACACTATTTTTATCAGTCAGTCATCATCAGTGTTGAGTCCGATTTACATATATATATCCTCCAGAGAACTGGTTGAAATCCGAGTAATTTTAATAACTAGGTTGTCGATTTTTGTGATAGGTTTACTGTTATTCACAATTTTTTTTAAAACACCATTTAGAAAAAAATGTTTAGAAATGTGAAACTTGTTTATTGACATAGAATGTTATAAGATAAATTGGTTATTTAATGAAGTTTTATCCAGTGGAGTTCAGTATTTAATATCAAATTATTTAGCAATTACTTTAGTTAATTAGACGAACTCAATCGAATTACTTCTTAGATTAGACACAATGCTACTTGGGCTCAATTTTATTTGACTATTTAAAATGAACACAAACACAGTTACCAAGATCTAACATTGGTATAATTATTCATAAGCAGTTCATTCTCTTTTGTTTAAACAGTAGGGACTGAACAGAATGTTGTAATGTAGCAACCAATACACCTTGATGTTTTCCTACATCGATCATACAATGTATCATTTGGTCAATATTACATAAAATTATAATGTGCCGTAATACTAACGTTGAAATCAATAAATAAATCATTTTTTAGAGAAAAAAATCAAACAAATTACCTCGAAATTCTTGTATACATTCACCAGTTACTACATTCCATAGGCGTAAAGTTGTATCACGACTACCTGTAACAACTAAGTGACCATTTTGAAAAGTTTGCTGTTGTTTCTCCATTTTAATCGTCGAATTAGGCTCACTGTTTGATGGAATTGGACCAAACAATTTACTACTACCATCACTACTACTACTACTGTTGGTCTGATGAATATTTGAAGTCGTTTTAGGTGTGCTATCATGACTACGAAGAGTTTGTTGATTATTAAACATATTGTGAGTTAATTCTTTATCTGAATCATCATCTCCGACACCATCTTCGTCATTATCATTCTTAATAGTATGATTAGCAGTATTATCATCAATACTATCATTATTATCATTACTATACACATCTGTCGAACGTTTATAACAGTTCGAATTGGTAACAACAAATTTCGGACTAGAATGTAATTTTTGACTAGCTAAACATCGGACGGTTGATTGATGTCCAAACAACGTGGCTATACAAGGCCAACGTTGACCATCCAATTGCCAAACACGAGCTGTTCGATCACAACTACCAGATATAAGTAAAGGATGCTGAGATAATTGTTTTTGCTCTGATAGAAATATTAATTGACGTGGTATGACAGTCATTGACCAAACACCCCCAAGGTGACCGAATAAATTAATTAAACACTGCCCAGTATTAATATCCCATATACAGATACTTGAATCATCTGACCCAGTGATCGCCCATTCTTCATATACTTCTAAACAAGTGATAACATGATTCTAGAATGATAAAAATATATTAAAACTAATAAATATTAACGAATGAAATTACTACACATTATAAGAAGTATACGTTCACAAAACATTGAACAAAGGAAGAATGCATTAAATTTTCAGCACGAAATACCTCACTTACTTAAAAGAACGAAAATTTCAGTAGTATTGACAGTTTTAAAATATCAATACTTTTTTCTACCTTGATGGGGTTTTATAACACACATTTACTAATATGAATAATATTCATCAAATTGTATCATTTTAACAAGAATGACAATGTTGAAAGACCATTTTCCCATAAATATTCATATTTGAGGTATGATTTCAAATATATACTTATACTTGGCTGACTTTCAAATATGACAATGAACAATTAAGATCAAAAATAAACTTTCATGAAGGAATCTCTTTTCAACAAAATTGTTATCAAGATGCGCAACCGACTGATTGACTGTCAGTGAATAGAATACGCTTCAATGTTGGTTGGACATAATTCATAGTTGTGATCATGATATAGTATATACAAGACAATTCCCACATATTTTGATATTTTTAGTCTATAATCTGGAGAACACTATGAAATATGTAAAAGGATGTTCCACAGAATTTATGCCTTAACATTGAAGTGTTGTCCAGCCAATTCACTTACGCCTTTTACCCCTCATAGGGGAGCATAGGCCACCCATCAACATGTTCCATCTAACTCCGTCGTGGACAGTCCTTTCCAGTTGCAATTCATCCTTTTTATGTCTGCTTCTTAATTCCGACGTAGTGTGTTGTTTGGCCTTCCTCTTTTTCGTTTCTCTTCAGGATTTCACGTTAGTCCTTGCCTTGCGGTACAGATTGATAATTTCCTCAATGTATGTCCTATCCACCTCCAATTTCAGATGGAAGCTGGTTTCTTCTCTCTTACTGAAGGCTGTTGCTGATGATATCCGACCAGCAGATATTGAGTATCTTGAGCAGACAACTATTTATAAATCCTTTTACCTTCTTGATGATGGTTGTAGTAGTTCTCCAAGTTTCAGCTCCGTACAATAGAACTGCCTTGACGTTCGTATTGAAGATTATCACTTTGATGTTAGTTGACAGTTGCTTCGAGTTTCATATGTTCCTCAACTGTAGTAATGCTGTCCTTTTTTTGCTAATCCACACCTTTACGTCTGTATCGGATCCTCCACGTTTATCGATGCTGATGCTGTTCAGGTACGTGAAAGTTTCCATATCTTCCACAGCTTCTCCATCAAGTGTGATTGGGTTGGTGTCCTCCTTGTTGTTTGTGTGTGGTATTCCAATGTCCGGTGGATTCAGTGGGGCTGGTCTATTCAGCAGTTCCTCGAAGTATTCTACCCATCTGTTCCTCTGTCCCTGAATTTCAGTGATTGGCCACAAACAGGTGGTGATCTGAAGCTATGTCATCTCCCCTCATCGTTCTCACGTGTTCAATTGTTCTTCGGAATTTTTTGCTGATACAAATATGATCTGTCCGGTTCTACGTGCTACGATCCAGTGAGACCCATGTAACTTCATGTATGCGTTTGTGATGGAATATTGTGCCACCTATAACCGATTCGTTGAATGTACATAGGCTTGCGAACCTCTACCCATTTTCATTTCTCTCTCCTAGTTCATGTCGTCCTATTATATCTTCATATCCGGTGTTGTCCGTTCCGACTTTGGTGTTTAGGTCCCCCACCAAAATGTTGAGATCCTTTCTTGAGCACTTCGCCATGATTGATTACAGCCGTTGCTGTCCAGCTAAGCGACTAGGAATATCAAAATATGTGAAAATTATTGCCTTCGCATAATATTAAGACAACATTACAAATTACACTTAATTAGCATGGAAGCGCATTTTATAGCTAAGTTAGTAACAAATATAATATTAGCTTGTAAACTATTATTCATAAGCTGATTCAAGGTAACATATGAGTCATCTCAATATTAACAAACCTCAGTGCCAATTAATCAATTGTAATCTTAGCTATTGAATGACCTAATTTGAAATCATACCTCAAATATGAACGTTTATGGGAAAATGGTCTTTCAACATTGTCATTCTTGTTAAAATGATACAATTTTAGTAATACTAACGTACAACAGCTTTCCCACTTGTAAATGTGAATATAGTAATCATGTCAAACAGTGAAATTTTATTACAATTTCAAAAGTATATACCATCGAACAATTTGTATTTAGTAATGACAGATATAGGTCAACTGTTTTAAATCGGTAGCGAAAATCAACTCTAACTGATATTGATCAGTCAATGAAACTGTGCATTGTTCAAATCCTCATATTGATTTTGTCCCCTTCATCTGGATCTTAATTGAGTCAACCTGTATGCGGAAATTACGAAACTGATTAACAATCTTAATTCATCATTTTTACGCATACGAATGGTCATTTCACTGTTTGGTTAAGATGATGCTTGGTAGGAGTAGGGTATCAGTAAATGGTGGAGGGAGTTATTGATATAAATTTTAAACATTTAAATATTACTCTTGTTTGTGCTATTAGTCTCGGATACACAATAAACAGAAGTAGTAGATTGGTGATAAGCTTTTCCAAAGACTGTCCTCTCACTTATTCATTTCAATACACGTGTCCATCCATATTCTTCAATGATAGGGTTTGGTTGATTATAAATTTTGGTCATCTAGACGATTGGACCAATTGAAATAACACTATGTTGTAAAAAGGAGTCTATAATACTAAACTAAACAAATCACACCACCTGAAAATTAACTAGGCCACGTCTGACTTAACCAGTTAAATTACAGTAAAATGGGTAAATAGATAGTGAAGAAACAGTGGTAATTTTATTGGTTTGATACACATAGGGAGAAAGTGAGTCGAGGGTTAACACGTACCAATCACATTAATAATTTTTTTTAAAAAAAGGAATTTATAAACCTAATTCTCCAGCACCTATTTCGTAGCCATAGGAAAAGAAGAAATATGCACAAATTAACGGCTATCTGGACTCAGTATCTAAGTGAATAACGCATTGGTGTTAGGAGTAAACGGTACTGTACTGGGTTCCAGTCTCGGAGTGAATATCAACTGCGGGATGCAGGCACATTCGACTGACGAGTTCTAAATAGGACAAAACCTGAGTCCTGGATCCGACTACTAACCACATTTAATCTATTTTAAAGTTAATTGTGGTAAACCTACATGATGAGCTGGTACAATGATAGGATGCCATGGTCCACCATTTCTCCAATTACACTGAGTATGTAAATCTTGACGATATAAAGACTTCCAATTAACCTGTATGGAAGGAAGTAATAATACATGGAATTCTATGATATGAAATAAAAAAGTAGACAAAAATATAATCATTAAGATTACATATCAATGGGTGACATATACGCTACGGATGACAAAACTGTTCCATTTATGATAATATCTATATTTGTACAATACCAACAAAAGTTTATGGGTTAGTAAGTGGAATGATACATCATAAAGCTGAAAAATCATATTGAGAGAGCAGTTGTAGTTTGAAGATGTCGTGATTAGTGATCATTATTTATTTATTATTGATGGCCCCATTTAATATTATACATTTAGTACAATATAGGATTCTCAGATGTTAACCCACGTCAACTGGAACGTGAAATCTACTGACAAGAGTCATTCACCTAGCCTCACTGTTCAAATGGTGTTTGCGATGTTGAATCACTTAGACTAGTGAGGACACTGCATCTTACTCTATGGAATTCGATCACAATTAAAAGATCAAACAAACATGAGATTGACCATTAATCTATGATCAATCAACCAACCATAAATATACCCTTCAACAATTAGATAATCAACAAATTGATAATGATCAATTTTACAGTGAATTAATTACCGACCAATTATAACTAGTAAGTATGCGACTAGATTTCAATGGGAGGAAATGAAAACTTCGGTTATTAAATTATACTAGGAACAATGGCTTAGCAGCCAAAGCATTCGGATTTCAAGTTATGAGATTTAGTCTCAGTTCACTTAGCTCAGTTCAAGCAACAAAGAGTAATTAGCAGTACTAGACCTCACACACATACTTCATAGCTCAAAATCGAGTATACACGGTAAATGACTTCCATTAAAACCAGAATATAAGAAATGAAAGAGTAAAAATGCTTGTTTAACAAAAGATTTAACATTAACATTACTTACCTCATTCAAACAAGAACGGTTCGAAGAATCACCAGTATAAGATAATGCACAAGTTGATTCACCATCAGTGTCAAGGGATTGAATATGATCATTTTTCATGGTCACATCACATTCATGTACTTTAAAATTGTCACCATCATTAGTGTTAATACTATTATTGATGATAAAATTTTCAATAAGGGATTTTGTTTCATTACAAAGTGAATTTGTAGGCTTATTTACACACAAAAGACAATTCAGTTGGGTACCTAGATTGATTTTTTGTGTTCACAATGAAAAAATAAAAACGGATAAACACATTACCTGAATAAAAGTTAATTGTAGATTTGTTGAATAATGTGTTAAACAATCCAGCACCTACACACAAACGATGCCAAAGTAAATTATCATCACAAACAAGTTGCCAAGTCTTGGAAACCTACAAAAAGAAAAAGAGACAGAGAAATATGGAGATACGTGGAACAGACCCTGGGACATAAGTGAATTGGTTGAAGTTCCTAAAAGTGAGAGAGAGAAAGTTTCATTACTAATGATGGGTTTGTGAAAGTTGTTTAACTCCGTATCTTGTATCACAAGCTGATTGCGGTTAGACAACCATTAAAATCCAAGGAACACTGGACAGCTATTTCAATCTAGTCTAGGAACCTATGGCAGCGTTGTGAACTGACTAAGGCTAGAATTGTCAGTCATTAGATGGAAAAAAATGTTCTGAAGGACAAGCGCCAGCCGTAAAGACTGAAGGTCCTAGGTTTGATACCTGGTAAGGAAACCTTGATTAGGAAGGTACAGCTATCCAAAACTTAATGGTATTCAATGGTGATATATAGTGAAAGTAAAATAGATGGAAAAGGCATAGTGGATTGGTAACATTAAGTATATATTTCGAGTGATTATAGAAATAAGTATTAAAACGGCAAGCGTTAGTGAGGCTATCTCGGAAAAGAATGGAACTACCAGTCAGTTTGAGTCCAAATTAAATAAACGCGAACACTGGAGAACAGTCCAACCACCCCATAGCAACTCTACAGTTACACGCAATCTCTAAACAACCTGAATGAGAAACTGGAAAAAAAATCATTCAACTACTAATGAGATTAGAAAGGCTACAAATAATCTGAAGCGAAGAAGGGATGGATTAGTCCCGGAAATCTTCAAGGATAGTGGTCTAATTTCAGCAGTTAAATTGACTGTAACATTGGTCAGAATCTGAGAACTAGACGAAATCTCATCTAACTGATCTCGATCGCTGATCATTCCCGTTTACGTAAAAAGGACAAAATTCAGAAAGGAATTAGTATGACTAATACAGTGTCCAAAATATTGTCCTTTATAAACATCCGACGCCTAAGGCTCGTAAAGAGAAAATCCAAAAAATCAGGTTGGTTTCAGATAATCAGTAAGATGAATCAACTAAATTTTCACTTTCCATCATATTTTATAACATAGGCATACTGTGTCCAATGTCCGATTATAGATGCATTCTTTGACCTTAAAGCAGCATTCGACTATGTCGATCAAGAGATTTTGTGGTAGTCTGTCGATGAAAACTATATCAAAGAAGTGCATCAAGCTTTTAAGGGACGATTACTTTGACATTATTAGTTGAGTTAGAGCTTATGAAGAACTGTCATCAGAATTGTCAACTTCAAGTGGTGCTCTCCAGGACTTTCTCTCTTTTTATTTAGCTTCGTTATAGATATTTTCAGGGATTGATCTCCTAACCAGAAATTCACTTGTCGATTTAAAATACGCGACTATAGTAACCACTGGTTGGAGATTCTGAGTGACATGGCTCAGAATTTATCACAATGGCATACGAGTATACACATTTAGTTTTCCTTTAAATTGTGAGATTAAAGTTACTTGATATCTTTCTTTCGACGAACTAATTCTTTCTTCTTCTCTACAATCTTTTTTACACACTACTACCATTAAAGTAACTACTTCTATGAATTTGGTGATCAACTTGTTGTGCTAATGATGTGTGGCAACTTAGACCTATTTATATACGTGCCTGGTCCTACGTTGTAGATGACTGTCTGCCCAGGAAAGGACCTTACCATTCAATTGGGAGACCTAACCGCAAAAGTCGGAATGGACAACACAGGGTATAAAAATGCCATGAGATGACATGGGATGGAAGAAATGAACAGAAACGGTGAGAGATTTGCCAATTTATATTCCTTCAGAAAATGGTTATAAGTGACACTATATTTCCACACAAACACATACATGGAGCTACATGGGTCTCACAGAACCACAATCCAAAGAGCCAGATCGATTTTATCTACACGAATAAAAATTTCCGAAGTTCTGAAGGTGAGAACAAAGAGAGAAGCTGATCTAGCACCATCACAAAAATTAGGGTAACATGGTGGTTGGAGGTGGTCAACAGGAAACCCTGGACCCGGGTTTCGTGCTACTTGGCACTCGTCAGCAAGGTGTACCTGTAATCTTGAGGGAACTGATGCTCCCTGGCGGATTCGATCCCGCGTCACTCAGCTTGACAGTCAGAGACGTTACCACTGAGCTATTCGGGCCGCGACCGACCTCCTGTAGGACTGAGATCTAATCACAATTGATTGATCACTGGGTGGTGATCAATCTCATGCGTGTCAGGTCCTTAGTGCTGATCGAATGCTATCGATCAAGTTGCAATGTGGCCACCAGTCTAGGTGGCTCGACACTGCGGGCACTATATATATTAGGGTAACATGGTCCAGGGTTTCCTGTTGACCACCTCCAACCACCATGTTACCCTAATATATATAGTGCCCGCAGTGTCGAGCCACCTAGACTGGTGGCCACATTGCAACTTGATCGATAGCATTCGATCAGCACTAAGGACCTGACACGCATGAGATTGATCACCACCCAGTGATCAATCAATTGTGACCATCACAAAAATGCATCTCTATCAATACTCTGGGCACTATTCGGGAAAGGACAAACAATAAGACAGCAATTAACAACAGCCGATCAAAAACAATTGAAAAAGAGCAGAAAAAGACAAGACAGCGACAGAATACACAGAAGCAAGAAAACGAAAGAAGAGAAGCATTAGAGCCTATAAGCAGAAATACGTGGAAGCCTTGACAAAGGACAGTAGAAAAAGCTGTGAGAGAATGAAATAATGAAGCAAGTTTATGGCACAACGAAAAAACTAGCAGAGAAATATTGCAAAAGAGATCAGTCAAGGACAAAGAAGGCAAGCCAATCACTGAGATTTAAGAACAGCGAATTAGATGTCACAAATATATACAGATCCAAGTTGGTTCATCTCACGTCAGTGAAATAAGAGGAAGAAATTAGCAGCGTTTAAAGCAAAAGGGAACAAATAATATCAACTTTGCCCGAAGAATGTATGCACCCGTGCCATAGAGAACGATTGCGAGCCATGTCAGCCAAAGTATCTAACGATTGGTTAAGATAACTACGCGAACTCAAGCTAGGTATTACAAACCTATTAACATGGCTCATTTATGAATGACCTCATAGATTGCTACGCATACGTAAAATGGCACGAAATCCTTCCACATCAAAAATATATATATATCATGAAACTGCCAACTCACTTGAGCGCAATGAAATATATCTCGAGGTGATAAATATTGTAAGATATGTAAAGAAATTTCAACAGGTAAACATGCAATAAAATCTCGTTTCAACAATGGCTTTATAGTTTTTTTTATATGCAACAATTCGCCATGTGAACATTGATCAATTAAAGCGGATAATTGAGCAAGTCGATCATGACTACATGAAGAATTGTTAATATTTTCAAATTCGTTTAAACGATTTTTTGAACTGTAATCAACATTGTATAATGATAGAGTATGGATTATATTATTTCTTGAATTATCCAACAGGCGGGGATATTTCAGCTAAAATAATAGTGTATTTTTTGGTGATTTTAAGTGATCTTACATCTTTTTCGAATGTTCTAAAATAAGACAATATAGATTATAATTATTTTATTAAAAAAACGTACTCTGAGCAGATTGACTGGGAACATCTTTTCACCTTTGTACAGGTTGAAAAAGATTCAAGATAAGACATTTAAGAATACCTAAAATACAAGATAGTTTGAAAGAACTTGATAAGATGAGTCCAAAATGATTGTATATTAATCCAATATAATAAGATGTAGGTACTGATAAATTGACCTCTAAGTGTTACTTGTTACAAGTTAATATTAAATTACAGCACATAGCTTACTTGATACACAAAACACGAAATGGAAAAATACTATCATAATAAATGGTTTTACTCAATATTATATGTTTGGTACAACATAGAATTCTAAGCACAATAAATAAAGATAATTTAGGGAGAAAATTCTTTTCGACATTACCATTTAATAAAGTTTTACAATTATATTTATATTCTTTAAAGTCTCATAATGGATGTCTGTTGACTATCCGACACCATGACAATGACGAGTAAAGTCACTTGTGGCCTCGCGAAACAACACACTTATAAGCACTGGGTCTCTTTAGGGTCATTAGAACTAATTGAAACCCTCGGTCTCCTCTGGGTGACTGCGAGTTTGACCACAGACAAAGACTGATACACAATGAAATTGGGCAAAGTTTGCGTGAGGACCGAGAAGCCAACAACCTTAGTGTTTCTTGACATCAGGGCTGTCTTCGATTTGTTGGACAGGACTGTTCTCTGGAATTGTCTATTGAAGAAGGATGTGCCTGGGAAGTTTATTAACATTTTAAAGGCCCTGTATACAAACACCTCAGGCAGAGTGAGGGCACACAACCACCTTTCTCCATTGTTCCATTCAAGCAGTGAGGTTAGACAGGGTTGCCCAATCTCACCACTTTTCTCCAACTTTGCTATCGATGTTATGGAAACAGCTCTGATGGATGTAGGTAATGAAGGTGTGGATCCGTTGCCTGGAGAAAGACTTCTCGAACTTGAGTATGCGGATGATATTATCATATTGTGCCATAACACCCAAGTCATGCAATCCGCACTTAATCAGTTGGCAATCAGTATCCGTAGGTATGACATGTGCGCTGAACCTTCCAAGTGCAAAGTACTTTTACAAGACTGGCAGGACTCTGATCCTGCACTCATCCTGGCTAGTGAGCAGACAGAAATAGTCAGGAAATTCGTGTATCTGGGTAGCTGTGTAAGTACTAGTGGTGGCGCGAGTGATGAGATATATTCACATATAATGAAAGCTAGAGTGGTTTACGCAAGTCTGAGCCATCTTTGATGCATTTGTGATGTTAGTCTGGCTGTAAAAGGTCGGATTTAAAACGCGTAGGCAACAGCAGTTTAACTCTATGCCTGTGAAACCCGATCTCTCTAAGCTGAGAATGTTGGACGACTGTGTTTGGTCATCGTTGTCTCCGAAAGATTGCTGACATCCAGTGGCAACACTATATTAGTAATGAAGAAGTTCGGGCATAGCTACAACAATTCAGTTGGTGTCACTATCTTGAAACATCGATTTCGGTTTCTTGGTCTACTATAAATATAGTACCAGAGAATTACATGTCGCGCATTACTTGCTGACGTTGGGACTGGTTGCAAAAATCGAAGGGGTGGTTAATGTATGACATGGTACCAACGGTATACAAGAAAATTGTACAAGACTGGCTTCTGTTGGTTCTTCACTACTCTCTGGTTAGGATCTTAGAGCTGTCGCAACACAGTGTCTAGAGACGTCATCAAACATGACTCAGAATAGAAGTCAGTGACAATCCTACTGTAAGCTTTTTTACTTTCTTCATAAATATGAGTGTTTATTTATTTAATCACATATATATTGGTACAAAGGGCACCGGATACATCTGCTCCACACAAAATAATGAGAATGGGAGGAGAAGGAAGAAGATGTGTATATATAAAACAAGAAAAAAAGAAAAGGAAAAGAGTAATGATGGGGGGGAACTGAAATGTACAACCAGAAGAGCTCTCTCAGTTAGGAAAGTTAGAACCACTCTTTATGTAGAAAGTAAAAGAAGGTTGCAGCAGGATCGCCACTGGCTTCTATTCTGAGCCATATCTGATAACGTCTCTAGCCACTGTGTTGCACCATCTCTCGGACCCCAGCCAGGGAGTCGTGAAAGACCAACAGAAGCTAGCCCTTTGCAGCTTTCTTTCATGCCACGACACCATGTCATACGCTGACCTCCTCTCCGCTTTTTCCAACCAGTCCCAGAGTCGGCAAATAATGCATGACGTGGAAATCTCTGGGACGACATTCGTAAAGCATGTCCAATCCACCGAAGTCGGTGTTTCAAGATGATGACACCAATTGAATTATCGTCTCTGCGCCCGAGCACACAATGCCGAACCTCTGCATTACTAACATGGTGTTGCCACTGAATGTCAGCAATCTTTCGGAGACAACGATGATCGAACACAGAGAGTCGTCTAACATCCTCAACTCGGAGAGCCCAGGTTTCAAAAGCATAGAGCAAAACTGCTCTCACCGACGCGTTGTAAATCCGACCTTTTACAGACAGACTAACATCACGAAGGCGCCAAAGATGGCCCAGATTGGCATAAGCCGCTCTGGCTTTCATTATACGTGCATCAATCTCATCACTTACACCACCACCAGCACTTATGTAGCTACCTAGATACACGAACTTCTCAACTACTTTAATCTGCTCACCATCGAGGGTGAGTACAGGATGAGAATCCTGCCAGTCTTGTAGGAGTACCTTGCACTTGGAGGGTGCAAAGCACATGCCGTACCTGCGGACACTGATTGCCAACTGATTAAGTGCGGATTGCATGCCTTGGGCATTATCGCACAGTAAAACAATATCATCCGCATACTCAAGGTTGAGAAGTCGTTCTCCAGGCAGCAGATCCACGCCGCCATGACTTTCATCTATAAGATGCTTCGGTTTGGGCACCCGGGCAGTATCACAGCCCTCTCGCAAATAAATGAAATGGAACAAATATGAGTATAACTTCTTTGTCTGGAAGAATTCCTTCTCATTGTACTTTTGCTAAATGAATTTTTTTTCTCACCATCATTTCACTCTCATAAACTAATTTCTATTCGTTATTCTTTTCTTTATTATACGCACTTTGCATTTTCTATCTCATCACAACCTCATCGTTATTGTGTGGCGCATATGTATTTTGTCAACCCCCCTTATACCAATGTTTGTGTCGAAACAAACAAATTTATTTATAGTTATTTAACAGATCTAGTTTTCAACTAGTAAATAAGAAAGGGACTACATAAAACGTCCAGAAACCCGGGTAAGTTTGTATCAGATACTCAACAAAAGTAGTTATAGATAACGAACTGAACCTCATTAAGAAATTTTGATCGAAAACGGGTATCTGTCGATATTTATTGACAAGAATACAAAACTTAAACCGTCTAGAGCACAAAGAACCTCAGTAGAAAAGAAAATACTTTATATGAACACAGATTTCAAAGGTGATATAACTGTAGATATCCGCCTGTAGCTCCTCTGGGGGTAGCCCTCAGCAACAGGTTCCAGGCCCTTCATGATCTACTCAATGGAGAGAGAACTACCATGGAGAGCAACTGGAAAAGTATCAAGGAGGCAATCGTTTCAACATGTCAGGAGGTTCTGGGCCACAAGAAGCACCATCACAAGGAATGGATCACTGTTGGTACACTGGATAAGATTGAAGCAAGGAGGAACAAGAAGGCAGCAATCAATATCAGCCGAACAAGAGCAGAAAAAGCCAAGGCACAAGCCGAATACACAGAGGCAAACAAGCAAGTGAAGAGGAGCATCAGGACCGACAAACGTAAATATGTGGAAGATTTAGCAACGACAGCGGAAAAGGCTGCAAGAGAGGGAAACATGAGACAACTGTATGATACAACAAAGAAACTTGCTGGAAATTACCGTAAGCCAGAAAGACCAGTGAAAAACAAGGAAGGCAAAGTAATCACCGACATTGAAGAACAACGTAACAGGTGGGTAGAACACTTCAAAGAACTCTTAAATCGACCAGCTCCACTGAACCAACCCAACATCGAAGCAGCACCCACAGACCTCCCAATTGATGTTGGCCCACCAACGATTGAAGAGATCAGCATGGCCATTAGACAAATCAAGAGCGGCAAAGCAGCGGGACCAGACAACATCCCGGCAGAGGCACTGAAAGCAAATGTAGCAGCAACTGCCAAGATACTCCACATCCTCTTCAGTAAGATTTGGGACGAAGAACAAGTTCCAACAGACTGGAAAAAAGGACTTCTGATCAAAATACCAAAGAAAGGTGATCTTAGCAAGTGCGACAACTACAGGGGCATCACTCTCCTCTCAATACCAGGGAAAGTCTTCAACAGGGTATTGTTAAACAGGATTAAGGATTCCGTGGACGCCCAACTTCGAGATCAACAAGCTGGATTTCGTAAGGATAGATCGTGCACAGATCAAATCGCAACTCTACATATCATTGTGGAACAATCAATCGAATGGAATTCATCACTCTACATCAACTTCATCGACTACGAGAAGGCATTTGATAGCGTGGACAGGACGACACTACGGCGTGCCTGAGAAGATAGTCAATATCATACGGAACTCCTATGATGGACTAAACTGCCAAATCGTCCACGGAGGACAACTCACCGACTCGTTTGAAGTAAAGACCGGTGTTAGGCAAGGTTGCCTACTCTCACCCTTTCTCTTTCTCCTGGTCATCGCCTGGATCATGAAGACGTCAACGACTGGAGGAAAACACTGGATACAGTGGACAGGTAGGATGCAACTTGACGATTTAGACTTCGCGGATGATCTGGCTCTTCTATCACAAACGCAACAACAAATGCAGGAGAAAACGACCAGTGTAGCAGCAGCCTCAGCAGCAGTAGGTCTCAATATAAACAAAGGGAAAAGCAAGACTCTCCGATACAACACAATATGCACCAATCAAATTACACTTGACGGAGAAGCTTTGGAGGATGTGGAAACCTTTACATATCTGGGAAGCATCATTGATGAACACGGTGGATCAGATGCAGATGTGAGGGCGAGGATCGGCGAAGCAAGAGCAGCATACTTACAACTGAAAAGCATCTGGAGCTCAAAACAATTG